CCTGCCCCTTCAACCCGATTGAGCCGCCATATAACTGTCTCTTATACACATCTAGATGTGTATAAGAGACAGGATGAGGGCAGTCCGTCGCCTCGCACCTACTCGGAGTTATCACCTCGCTTGATCCAAGCATGCAAGCCACGTTCGCCCACGTGCCACAGTCCGTCGCCGCCCCACATCGACCCCCCACGCTTAGCATCAGCTCGTCGGATCGCCCAACTCTCTACTCACCTGCCAACTTTCGCTCGTTAGCTGATCCTCTCGGCCGCGCTAACTTCAAAAATGCTTAGAGAGAGAGTTAATCGCGCTTACGAAATTTATAGCATGCATGCGTGTGCCCGCGATACCCGGGATTGTGTCCGAGTACGGGGAAGGAGGAAGGGAGTGCCTACAACTGTATGACCAGGCCGCGGAGGGGGGGACGTAGCCTCACTTCACACATTGATCCGATCATGCATGTGTTCAGACCAATAGGACAGAGGAAGAAGTACGCGCGCACGAAGCGCGACAAAAGCTATCAAGAACGAGAGGATTACAGTTGCAATTATGCCCACAAAAACCAGAATTAACGACCATTTCGTCAAAATTGACATTTTTTATTTTTTGAACGAAATTGAAAACGAGTTTTTTGGCCGAAAACTCGTCAAAATTTATTGTTCCTGAGGGTCCAGCGACCAGGCACCTCCAGGCAGTCCTTGGTCTCAAGCTAGGTCCATGCACAGCCAAGGGGTCCAACGTTTTACAAACGCTGGACTCTCAGAAACAACAAATTTTGACGATTTTTCAGCCAAAAAACTTGGTTTCAATTTCGTTCAAAAAATAAAAGATGTCCATTTTGCCGAAATGACAGCTAATTACAGTTACACGCAAGGATTAAGGCACGGAAAAGTCAGAGTGCATATCCTGATGCAGCATGGCGTGCGCAAGTAAGAAGCGCGGTGCAGCAGAAATTAAGACACGCCTAAATTCCTAATTCGAATTCCTAGTTGCAAAAAGAAATTTCGAATGACGCAATTTCCTAGAGCCCGTGGGGGCTCGTCATCAGTTGGAAATTCGAAAAGATTTTCCAGCGCGACAATCGCGCCGAAAATTCCCCATTCCCACAGCAGAACAAGAAAGAAGCTATGACAACTGTTATTTGTCACGCTCGCTAAGGCGCGATCAACTACCAGCCGTCACGGAACCAAGCCAGCTCTCCCCACTTTTCCCAAAGGACGCGAAAGCACAAGGACGCGTAAGGCACGAGCATCCATGCAATTCACGAGGCCATCCCGACTCAACCCGTTCCAACCCCCGACGTAGCGTCGCTCAGAAGATTGCTCGGTTGCAGAAAGTAGTTCGTCACATATGTGATGCCCAGGGGGTTTCGATCCTGAACAAGCTCCTGCTTGCTCCTTCAATCATTCATGGATCTCCGACGATCGACGAGGAGTTAACACGTGCCACTTACTGACAGATGAGAGTGTGGAAGTCATCCAGGTGGCATTCGTGACTCCGATCTAATGGTTGTCAGGGAAAGGTACTAGTCTGATGACGGGAGGAGGCGGAGGGGGTGAGCTTGCTGGAAAGGTGGCAGAAAGTGATTTCGCTCTCGATCCTCGGTGAGGAGCCAAGTGTAATGAACGGTGCGATGTATGCGGGGGAAGCGGTGATCCTGGTGAGGGAGGGAGGCGAGGTAATCGGGATAGAGGGTGCACAGGGTGCGAGGGATCGTGGCGCCAAGATCCGCGTAACCTTCACACGAGGGGATTACGCCCGAGATTATACAATATATTTTTATATTGTTGTAATCTCACCATGCCGTGCTGAAGAGAAGGACGTGGAGAGGGAAGGAGGTCACAATAGAGCGAGTTGTGATGTAAGGGAAGATGTTGATGATGAGGCGGGTGGAGTAGAGTTGGTGAAAAAGGAAAAGGGGGAAGGGATGCCAATTAAAGGGAAAAGGGGGTCGGCCCGTGAGGTGATGAATGGCGGGAAAATCACGGGGACGACGGGATAACGACCGGGGACGAAGCCTGAGCGCCCTCACCTCCACATAGGCGAACGGCGGGCCGCAGAGGTGAAGAGGATTGAGTCGACGCTGTACTTCTTCTGCGGCGTCTGCTTCTAGATCCCTCTACGGTGGCGACGCCATTTCCTCCGGATTCCTCCTGCGGAGTCTCTCGATTGCGCGCCGGATCACTTTGTGACAGCCGCGTTGCTAGCCCGTCTGATTCCTCCACTGCCCGATTTCCTTTCGCCCTCTCTCGCCTCCTCTGGGCTGCCACCTCGTCCCCTTTCTTGCTCTGCTCACTGGGGCTGTCTGATTCGCCCGACCCACTCCCTCCCAACTCACTCTCCTCTGACTCGTGGTAATCGGGATCGTCGGTTTCCGCGTCTGAGTCTTCTTCTTCTTCCTCTTCGCTTTCCTCTTCTCTTTCTTCCTCCTCGTCGTCAGCTACCCCTTCCACCTCCACTCTTTGGATGATCGGATCCCACAAGGTGAGATCGGTCACGTCAATGGCTAGGTAGTGGCCCGAGGAGGGGTAGTAGCAGTTGTCACCGTCGAGCTCCATACACGTGGATCAAAGTAAATGCGGTACCAATATACAGGTAAGCGTTGCTACCGCGGGCCGCTCGTCGCAGCGTGAAATGATATCCAGGGGTAGATCGTCCAGGAGTTGCGCCAGGAACACCAGGACTTCATTCGTGATTGGCTCCAGATGGTCGTCCCCGACCTTCCTGAATAGAAGCCCCAGCAGTTCTCCCTCCGTCTCCGTTCTCCAGGCTTCAAGTTGGATGATTAGCAGTTCCACCTCGTCATCAGGGACCCAGTCATCAGGGACCTCGTCATCAGGGTCCTCGTCATCAAGGACCTCGTCATCAGGGACCTCGTCCTCCTCATCCTTATCGGTCGGCTCTGCTCAATGGAACACCACCTCGAGGAGACAGAAGCTAAGTGCGACGTACGCGTTCCACCATTCTGCCTACTTGACGGCGTCGAGGATTGGCACGTCCAGTTGCCGGATCCGAAAGGAGAGAGGGACGTCCATAGCGGACTGCCAGAAGGTAAGGAGATCAGAGGGAAGCCCGAAGTTCGAGAGGCGGTGCTGGTTCATTGAGGCGGCGTGAAAGGAAGAAGCTCCGGGATGACAACCTCCGGTGTAGAGAGAGAGAGTCTGAGCTGGCTGAGGTCGATGTCGTTGATGGAGTTGACCCGATCGCCTGGTCAGCCTAGCAGCTGGATCCACGCCTCCGCGAGATCCCAGGCCCAAAGTCGCAGTTGTTGGAGGGCGTCCGTATGGCCTGCCGTATACAGCCCCGTAAGATCGTCGGTGAAGGCGACGACCACTGACACATGGCCGTTGCCAGGCAGGGACAGCCGCAAAAATGTCGATACCTCGGCCAACAGTCGTGTCCGATTGCTGGTTTGCACAAACAGAAATGGCCGCTGTACTAAAGAAAGTCGCAAATCGAAGCAGATCCGGACTCAATCGTGGTCGCCACATGTGTCGGATCGACGAAATATGCACCCGGGTCTCATTAGACGATCACCGACGACCTGCTCGGTAGAAAAGCTCATGGCGATGGGGGAGGAGTTAGAGATGGAGGTTGAGAGGAAGGGGGGTCAGAGTATTCAAGCTCGAGATAGTCGTCTTCCTTCACAGAATCGAAGGATGACGTGAACGATGGGGGAGAAGGAGGTAAGGGACGAAGGTAGGACACGTGGCGGATGATCGGTCGGGCCGATCTGCTTCCTGAGACCTCCGGCGCAAGCCGCACCGTGTTCACTCCGCTAGGACCGAGCTCGACTACGTGAAATCGCCCGAAGAATCGTGGCGCTAACTTGCCTTGGCGAGCACATTTCCTCAACTGCACTATGTCCCCCAATTTATAATAGGGCCGGGGTCCAGCGTTCCCATTTCGGGCCTCGTAGCTCCGGACCTGCCGACCATGGGCCATTTCAGTCATCCGCTGTTTTTTTCAGGCTAACCGGGCCAGGGCCTTTTCCATCAATTTTAAATGGCGTTGGGCCTTGTCCTTGACCATCGCCCTCGTGGCTCGTCGTGCAAAGGTCGTTTCGTCATTTAGGCTTGGCAGAGAGAGCTACACACGCCAGATTGTTCGTCCGTAACTGAGAAGGGGTCAGGCCAGTGGACTCATGAGGGGTCCCTCGGTGGATAGTTAGGATATGGTCCACAATGTCGGGCCAAGGCCTCGTGTCTCGCGCCACGATATTTCTTCGCAGAGCGGTCTTAATCACCCGGTTCGCATTTTCTACCAGTCCGTTCGATTGCAACATATGGGGGGCGGTATTGTGAATAGAGACGCCATGTATGACTAGGCTCCTCAAGACTTCTCCTCGGAATTCCGCCCCGTTGTCCGTTAAAATTTTCATGGTATCTTAATGCATTCTGAGAAAACGGTTGACATGCTGCACGATTTCCGTCGCCTGTCGTGTTTTACACGGGTAGGCCTCGATCCATTTCGAGAAATGATCCACGAATACCAAAAGAATTGAATACTCGCAGTTATTCGGTCCAGGGGGCACAATAATATCCGTGGTGTCCATGCTAACCCTTTGGAATGGTCGTTCGACTACGGTGGGCACTATTGACCTAGGCGGTTGAATCGACGCCTTATCCGTCGCGCAGACTGGACAATTTTTAACAATGAATTTAACATCGTCCCATATATTGGACCAGTACCACTTATTTTCGTCAATCGCGGCGTCCGTGATCCTGACAGCAAAGTGAGCGGCGGTTTCCTCGTGGGTTGACTTAACCCAGTCGTATCTCATGAACGGATGAGGTACTGACATCCAAATCCCACTACCATCAGTCTTTCATTTTTCTAATCGTCCGTCGTTCCATCGGTAATCCCGCGCTCTCTCGTTAGCCCGCCTCCGATCTTCCTTGGTGAATTCTCGGAGGGAGTTTCCAACTATTGTAGCTATCAGGACGACATTTGTCCATACCTTGGCACGCAGGAATCGGCGTGTCTTTTCTAGCCCTTCGGACGTGGCTTCGAGGAATCGAGCCTCCTTCGACACAAGGGACATAACCAGGGTTTATCCGTGTTCCTATATTAAATATAGGAACGTGGGTTCGGGAGACACACTGTTGACACTCGACCCACTCGACATATCCTTCCCCACTAGGACGCATAGGAACCGAATAGACTCGCGATATTGCTTCGTAAAAATAACAGAATTTGTCAAGCAAAGGAAAGAAAAGAAGAGGATGAGAGGGGAGAAAAGGGGCCCCTGGTATCACCTTCCCCACCCATCGCCATCACGTCCACGTGTCACTTCCTGGAGGGTCGAGGGAGAATGGCCACTTCTTTGTACGGGGGTCCATTGGCTGGCTCCGGTTCTTTCCGCAGAGTAATCTCTTCACCTTTTACCACCTTGTTTGGTCGATGCAGTCGCGTCAACCCGTCTGCGTTCCCGTGCTTTTCTATCTTCCGATGAATGATATCGAAGTCATACTCTTATAGCTGAACAGCCCATCGTTCAATCATGCCCGTGTAAGTGAGCCTTTTGAGAGCTAGCAGGGGCTCATGATCCGTGACGAGGAGGAACTTATGTCTGTACAGATACGGATGGAAGCGCTGAATTCCCCAGACGACTGCGTAGCACTCTCCCTGTGGGGCCAAATCGTTCCTGCGTTTGTCAGGTACAGTTCGCGAGGCGTACTCAATGACGTGTTCACGGCGGTCCTTCCCCTTCTGGGCCAAAATAGCGGAGATCGCCTCGGGCTGCCAGTCCGTGATGAGTATGAACTGCTTTCCTAGATCGGGCCGAATCAAAAGAGGCGCGGAAGCCAGAGCATCCTTCAAGGTGATAAAGGTTTGTCCAAAGTCTTCATCCCACTTCAGTGGCTGGTCTTTTCGTAGGACGTTTGTTAGAGGTCGAGCAATTACTGCGAACCCTTACAAGCTCAGCCCCAGGAAGGCTCGAACCTGCATCAGCGACATGGGCGTAGAGGTTCCTCGAACCGCCTCCACTTTTCTCGAACCTGGTCTCAATCCTCCTCAGGTCACCACGTATCTCAAAAATGAGATTTCTAAAAGGAAAAACTCACTTTTCTTCAACGCAATCTTGAATCCAGCATCCCGCAATGCCCCGAGCGCCCACTAAATGTGTTGAGCATGTCCGTGAAGCAATTCAGAATACACCAAGATATCGTCCATATACACAACGACGCAGAAGTTGATCATTCCTTGGGTCAGTCGGGTCTTATTAACGAAGTTATAAAAGGTGATGTTCATCGCTCTCTGAAAGGTAGCTGGCACATTGCATATTCCCATAGGGCAACGAACCCACTGCCAAGTGTCGTCGAACAATACGAACACCGTCTTTGGCCGATCCTCCTCCTTAACTAGGATATGATGAAACCGGTGATGGATATCAAATTTACTAAAATATTTAGCACATCCAATCGCATCCAACAAGTCATCAATCTTGGGGAGGGGGTACACATCCTTGATCGTGATATCATTCAACTTCCTATAATTGATGCATATGCGAATCGACCCGTTTTTCTTCGGAACTAAGACTACGGGGAATAACCATGGTCCGATAGTTGATTCAATCCAACTGTTAGTTTCGAATTTCCTGATTCGTTTCAACGCTGCCTTTCGTTCGGCGAGGGAATATCGGTATGGCTTGCAGTGGATTGGTGAGTGTGTTCCAGTCCAAATTTTGTGTTGAATAACCAATGACAGTCCGATATCAGTGTCCTTGACGCTAATCGCCCCCGGGCCTTGATATTCGGTTAGGATGTCTGCGATTAGTTGATGAATTTCGTCAGGCACGTAGTGGGGTACATGTAACTCATAGAGTTGTCCGTGTATGCTAATTGTCATTTGTTTCGTATCAATTTCTCACCGTTCCCCGGTGGGGCAGCCGAAATGAATGAATTGTCTAATCGCCAGGAGAACACCGTTACAACCATCTGGGAGTCTATTTCCCAGATTGTCACGTATTCTTCTGGCGTTACACCGTCATTGAGATCCTGCAAACTTACTGGTTTCTCCGCGATCCTGATCTCGAGTTCGTCACACGTGGTTAACCAGGGGTGTTATTTTCGACGAATTTTGCACCGAATTGCACTGAAACTGTCATATTGTGCTGATTTTTTTTTTTTTTTTTTTTT